CCCTGGCGGGGCGGGGGGCAGGCGGGGCGCACCCCCGAGCGCCTTCCCAGAAGCCCCTGCGCCGCCCGGGTCCTGACGGGCCGTCTGGTCTTCCGCCGCACGTGTCTTCAGAGCGATGCCGAAATCCAAGCGGGACAAGAAAGGTGGGCTCGGGGGACCTCGGTCTTGGGGGCGACGGGGACTCGGGTGAGACACCGAGGCCTCTCCGAGGAGATCCGGAGGCCGGGGAGGCGGGTTGGCCTCGGAAAGTCACCGGGGAAGCGCGAGTCTGGGCCGCACCGACAGGCAGCTCCGGAGATAGAACTTTGTATCCCAGGCTCGCCTCGAACTCGCCCACGGGGATCGTCTTAGACCGCTGATCCTACCACAGGATTGTTGGGATTACAGGCATGCACCACTAAACCTAAATGCCGAGCTAGTCAGGGCAAGCACTACCAGCTGAGCACTGAGCTTCACCCCCTGCCGCGCGAGTGCGAGTTTGAGACAGGGTCTTGCGATTGTAGCTCACGCTTGCTGTGTTCACCAGGCTTCCCACAGCCTCATCCTCTCCAGAATGTAGGGGTTTCACAGGCATGCGTCAGCGTACCTGGTTGCGGCTACTGCATTTTTCGCCCTTTTTTTTTTTTAATGTAAATGCTGGGGCCTTGAACTCTGCATCTTCTGCCTTGGCCTCAAATTCCAAACTGGGCCACCGTATCCAGTTAGTGGACTGGCACTTTGGTGGGTGTTAGAAGACGACAGTTGAACAGAAGCCAGGTGGTCTGGCTTCATCAAACTCACCTGTTTAGTGCGGGGGAAGGGGGCGTGTGTCTCAGTGATGAGACAGTAAACAAAACACCTGGGGAAAGGAAAATAAGGAACCTGTACAGTTGTCTGAGAGAAGGTTGTTCTGAATAGAGGAACACAAAGTGAAAGGGGTCTGTACCTAACATACTGTAGGACAAGAGGCCAATGTGGCTGTAGTAAAGAGCACGAAATAGGACGGCGGGGAAAGTATCGGGCCTCTGGTGTGGCTTTACATGTGGCTGTGTTGATAGCCTGGAGGATGTGAGGGCAGAGCGGGAAGCAGGATGGCCAATAACCACCTGGAGAATGCTAAGTTGGACCAGAATCCTAGCGGTGGAGAGTCTGGGGAACGGGTGGCCCAATGTAGTTGCCTTTGACTGTGTGCATTGTAAACAGGGACTGTGACCGGCAGGGCAGGGTAGATAAAAGGCCGTATCACCTGCTGGGGACACACGGGGCTTTGTAGGGAAGTTCTGGTACCTCCTTAGGAAGTCACTTGGTTTTGTGGAGGGAGCCCTGCTCAGATTTAGCAAATGCCAGGAGCTGTTTTGGAAGTGGGACAAATTGGGCCTCAGTAACTTATCAGAAGATATTCTTGTGCTCCACCCCATCCCCGCCATCATTGTTACCATTCGAGCAGATGCAAAACTGAACTGCAGAAAAGATGTGGTCCCAACAGAATGAGTTGGTACATACAAGAAAGCAATGAAATGTATCTTGAGTTAAAGGCCAACCCAGGCAGCCTTGTAGAAAGGTCCTGCCTTAAAAAAAAAAAAAAAAAAAAAAAAAAAGAGGAGCCTTTCTGGCTCCCCAGCCATCTTGGCGGCTGCTCTTGGTTCGGGGCTGTGCCAAACTGAGGCAGGAAGATGGCCGCCAAGAAAAAGAAAAAGTGCCTGGAGTCCATCAACTCCAGGCTCCAGCTGGTGATGAAGAGCGGGAAGTACATGTTGGGCTACAAACCGGCGCTCAGGATGATCGGGCAGGGCAAAGCCAAGCTGGTCATCCTCGCCAACAACTGCCCGGCCCTGAGGAAATCTGAAATAGAGTGCTATGCCATGTTGGCTAAGACTGGGGTCCATCACTACAGTGCAATAACATTGAACTGGGCACAGCATGTGGGAAACACTACTGAGTATGCACACTTGCTATCATTGACCCTGGTGACTCTGATGTTATTAGAGGCATGCCAGAACTGACTGGTGAGAAATAAACCAGAAACGCTTTCCTTTTAAAACCACCAGAGCTCTTAAAAAAAAAAGAAAGAAAGAAAGAATTGTCACTATCATTCCATAGCTGAACCTAGCCACTGGTGGCCTGTGTACCATGCCCTATAGCAGGAAGGGTCCTGTCTCAACCAGCATGTTAGGGCTGCCACTGAGAGCACTCTGTCAGCAGGAATGAGCCCTGTTGCCACGCTGCAGTAAATCCAGCAGTCAGCCCAAGGGACTAAGGGCAGCTGGTTTTTGTTAGGAGGTGTATTTAGGGATCTCTGGGTCCAAGAATGTTAGATAAGCAAGCACTCTCTCATCCTTGAATGCCAGAAATGACAGGGCCCATTGCTGCCTCCACACTGGCTTAGTTCAGCCACACCTGCAAAGAAGGAAGCAAAATTAATCTCTTAAAGTATCCAGATTCATCACTCACCACCACCTCCTTTTCTTGGTTTTAGTTTCCTTGACAAAAACTGCCAAGAAAGGCTTGGAACTGAAACAGAACCTGATAGAAGAGGTAAGAGCTTACTCCTGTATTTTTCTAATGTGTGTTTGCTTGATAGGCTTGGGGTAGGACTGTTAGCAGTGTTTTAAAATCCATAGCCACAAAGCTTCCTATCCAGCCCCCTTTTCTGCAGCAGCACCACAGCTGCCGCTAAAAACTGCCGTTCATGGTCCCAGCTCTGCTTGAGCTCTGTGTGCCTTCCACATCAGTAAATGTAATTTCTACACAACCCTCCATCCCATCCCCGAAGTATCCCTGTGTCCCAGGACCAGGTGGTGCTATTGCTGTTTTGTGCTCTGGGTAACATAGGTTATTAGTGAGTTTGTAATGCTTCCCACTGTCAGAAGGCTGGAAATCACTGGTGTGGTGATTGTGGCTATCCATCTGCTGAGGGCCAAGGAAGTCCAGTCTCCTGGTGCATAAATTACCTGGAAGTGAAGCTTCTACACAGAGAGGCTGCAGCTAGCAGCCTGGGCAGGGCAGTGTGGATGAGGTGTCTCTCCTTGTTTATCAAAATGATGAGGCTCCTTGTGATTTGACTTAGCAGGGGCCTGTAGACGGCAAGTAGCCGTTTCTATATTAACTAAGTACACAAAGGAAAACATTGGTCATGGAAGACCATATGGTATGTTCACCTTCTCCTGTGGTGGGTGGCCTTGGTGTCAGTCATGTCAGTGGTGGATGACCAGATTAAAGGCCTATAGGTGATTCTCTAGCATGAGGCCAAAGTTGCTCGACCCATACTGCCCCTTCAGCTCCAGAACCTCATGAATTGTCCCACAGCTTCGGAAATGTGTGGACACCTACAAGTACCTCTTTATCTTCTCTGTGGCCAACATGAGGAACAGCAAGCTAAAGGACATCCGGAATGCCTGGAAGCACAGCCGGTGAGCGGGCACTGGGAAGAGGACAGGGCACGGGTGGACGTCTGGGCTGCCCCATCAGAGCACAGTAGCACAGGTGACCCTTTGGGTCTGCAGCTCACTTGCTGGGGGCACCATTTGTGCTAGAGATGGGCATTCCCTGCGCTGCTGGGCGACAGGACTTGGTGGTCACTGGGGATGTTTGAGATCGGTTCCTTCAGAAAAGTGGCCCCTAGGATCTGGCTTACCGGTTTGCTAGAATGTCATTATGTACGTCTGCAGACTGACCCCAAAGCACATGGGTTGCAGTACTTGGGCAGGTGGTTCTGGAGTCAGTCTACCATTGCACCAGCTCTACTAGGGACTGTTACACATGGCTCTCCCAACAGCCAGACAGGATGGATGGTTTGTGATGCTTACGGTGAACAGATCTTCTGGCAAAATCTGGTTCTGGGCTCCCTGAACTCCTAGGGATTGGCTCACACCCCCATTTCTTGATAGGATGTTCTTTGGCAAAAACAAGGTGATGATGGTGGCCTTAGGTCGAAGCCCATCTGACGAATACAAAGACAACTTGCATCAGGTAGGTCACTGGCCCTCACTGAGTGGGACCCAAGCTCTGCTGCCTCCTCTGCTGCTCTTCCCTTTTGCTGTGTGACTCTGTGGGTTCGGGGGAGCTGAGCTCAGCGTAAACCTGTGTTAATCTGCAGACCCAGGGGGTTCTTCCCCTGATGTCCTTCTCTTCTGCCTCTTAGGAGTTCTACTAATCAGGAAAGGTGTTAGATGATAACCGGGTGTCCCCTTTGCAGGAAGGGCCTCAGAGAAGGAGCAGTGATGCCCACTTTCCTTTTTCAGGTCAGCAAGAAGTTGAGAGGTGAAGTTGGGCTCCTTTTTACCAACCGCACGAAGGAGGAGGTGAACGAGTGAGTGAGGGACGTGGGGAGAGAAGCTGAGAGTCAGGGAGAGATGAAAAGATGGGCCCCGTGGTAACATCGAGTTGGGGCTGGCTCTGGAAGCCTCTGACTAAAACCAGGGTTTTGTAACCAGGGTTCTCTCTTTCTGTCTAGCATGGTCCTCCCCACTGGCTGCAGGTCCACAGCCAAGATGTACAGGGACAGCAGGTCACATCATGTGCACTCAAAGGAGGGCCAGACTTCACCTCAATGGTGGCACAGCAGGGAACTTTCCCATTACCTTTCTCCTCCTTAGGTGGTTCACAAAGTATACAGAAATGGATTTTGCTCGAGCTGGGAACAAAGCAACTTTAACCGTGAGCCTGAATCCAGGGCCCCTGAAGCAGTTCCTTCATTCCACGGAGCCACAGCTGAGGCGGCTAGGCCTGCCCATTGCTCTCAAGAAAGAGGGGGTGACCCTGAGACAAATGGAACTCTGAGTTGACGACAGTCTGGTCTACAATGTGAGTTCCAGAACAGACTAGGGTAAATAGAGAAACCCCGTCTCAAAAAGGAGGGGGGAGGTGGGAAAGGAAATACGAAGGTACAGGAAGTCCAGAAGGAAAAGGAGCTCAGCACCACCTTCCCCCAGGCTCTCCCCTCTGCCCAGCCACTTCTCCAGTTTCTCCTGTGAAGGAAGGCTGTGCACTCACCTCCTCAAGGACATGGAGGAGGTCCCTGTGGGTGCTGAGCTGCAGGGAAGACAATCTAAGACCAAATGCCCCCTAGCACTGAGCACTAGCAGCAGGTGCCACGTGAGCCTCTGCTGGGAGTGACTTGGGGCCGCCCTCCCGCAGGTGTGGTGACCCTGCTATCTGACTACGAAGTGTGCAAGGAGGGGGATGTGCTGACCCCAGAGCAGGCCCGTGTCTTGGTGAGTCTGGGCCGATGTCATTACCCTTCTGCTGGGACATGGCTCACAGCTGCTCCTCCTCACTCTGCTTCCTCCACCTCTTACAGAAGCTTTTTGGGTATGAGATGGCTGAATTCAAAGTGACCATCAAATACATGTGGGATGCCCAGTCGGGAAGGTTCCAGCAGATGGACGATGACCTACCTGAGAGCGCACCTGAGTCTGAGGGAGATTCTGAGGAAGAGGATGACAGCTGACTCTAAGATATGGGACTAAGACCTTCCAGCAAGTTCTACCTCTACAGTAGACTGCCAGGATGCTGTTACCCTCTGAAGACAGCAGCTCTTAATTTTGCTATGGATTAAGACAATGGAGGATGCTGGGGCAGGACTTTGTTTCTACAAAGAATAAAATTTGGTCCACAGAGCTTTCCCCTGTAGACAGCAAGAGACTTTACCTAGGAAACAGGCCTTCCACTTTGTGCTTCTGCTTGGGGCCTGCACACCCCGGCTCTTTGACAGCACAGCACTGCAAATAGCTGACAGCAGCTTCCAGAGTTGGGTGTCCTCTCCAGGCCTTGTCTGGAATGGATTGGCTAAGGAAACTACTGCCTAGGCGGAGACAGAAAGATTAAGAATTCAAAGTTCACCTTGGCTACCAAAGCCCTTGTCTTAGAAACTAAAGCAAATGGCTTGGTAAGAATGAATTGAGGTTGAGGGCATAGGTCAGTTGTTAACTAATCTTGCACGTGAAAGGTCCTTCAATGTGAGGGAGAAAGGAAAAGTGCCCGAACTGGTACCTCCTACCACTCTTTTACCTAAGTGTTTCCCAAAGCTTAGTCACAGTGATTCAGCAATTTATTCTTCTGGTTTTGTTATTCAAGGATATGAAAAGATATATTCATACAAAATCCTGTGTATACGTGTTTCTGTTTAAAATTTTATATATGTGTGTATGTATACATCTCCCACGTGTGTGTGGGAGAGAGACAGAATTTCCTGTATCTCAGGCTCTGGTTAGCTTCAATGGGTTATGTACTTCAGGCTGACCGCTTGTCTGCACTTACTGAGTGTTTGGATCACAGGTGTGAGCAATCTCACCAGGATTGTGTGGCCATGGAGCACTCTACTGAGTCACATCTCCGGCCATAAAGGAAACTATAGTTGTTCACTTGGAAGTGGCAGAATACAGAAACTACCCAAATGTCTCTCCGGGTACAGTGGGAAAGTATAAGACCCAGATTTCATTTCCAGACTCACATGGCCGCTCACAACACTCTGTAACTACACTTTCAGGTTGTCCATTGCCCTCTGTGCACTCCTGTAACAGGACCCCAGAACTTAGCAAAACTGACTCCATGATAGAAATACCATTCAGGCCACAAAACTCAGCATGGAGACAGCACTGCCTTCCAAAATAAAGGCAAAGACCTAAGCTGTGATGCCCACACCACAACTAAATCCCAAGTATCGGCTGAAAGCCTGGAGATTCGAGTGAACGACGAGACCCCTGGTCAAATTTCTGAGAGAGAGTCTGTCACCTTTATTGTGGAGCAGCCTTATATACAAACTTACAAAAACCCCAGGTATAAGGGTTCACAACACGATGTTGATGCTAGTGGGATAAGGTCAGGAAAACAGGAGGTAGACCCTGTTGGGGCTGGGTCCCAACATCTCCCCCTTCTTTATATATAACAAAACAGTTATCAAGTAAGAACTATAAGATTTAAAGAAAATATTTTCTTAGTACATTACTATAACTGTCTTCAACTCCATCAAAGATCATAGAAGGATAACATATAAACTCTAGAACTGAGAAAGACATCTTGCTTCCTAGACAGTCACCCAAAGTTTCTCAGTAATGTTGAGGCATCCATCTTTAGCCTACAGGCCACAACATATCTGGCAGACTTCTCAGCAAAGCAGGGAATTCTAAACTGTCCACCTGCATTGGCAGTTTGTCCATCACCTTTTCTCTGTGTCCTGTAGAATGTCTGGCAGACTCTTCTATGAAGCAGGAACCCTTTTAGGGCTATCCATCTTGTTTCTGCAGTTAACTTTCCCATGGGTCCCACATGTCCAGTTTCAAACAGTTCAGGCAAAAGTAGCTTCTTGCTCAAGTCTTGCCGTGTCAAAGGCAAACTATAACAAGTTTCTTCAATGCCCGTCCTCCTCTCTTACGTTAATTGGTGTGCCAAGGGCAGTTGTGTCTCACTGTCAAGAAAAACCCTAAACCTAAATGCTATATATTCTGTAGTTCTTTGAAGGGTTTGAAGAATATCCGTATATCTAGAAAACCTAACTAATATCAACAAATGAAGATCCATCCCAATACAAAGTATAATTTCTATATCATATCCCTCCTTTTTCCTTAAAAAGTGATTGACTGTGATCACTACCATTTATAACCAACCAAATTTAAATGAAAACAAATATTCAGATTACTTGAGCCACTGCTTCAGGGGGTCTTGCCCCATGAAACCACATCAGTCTGAAAGGAATCCAGACTGATCCCTTCACCCTCCATAGAAACAAAAGCAGAAATTCCCCTCCCAAGTAACCTGTACTGTTGCTTCTTCCCCAACAATTAAACGATTCAAAGACAACACAATAGCATTCTTTTGTTAACAGTCAACATTTATAATCATACACACGTGTGGCCACACCATATATCCAGAACATCTTTTTGTAATTGAAATCTCTTGTTAATTTTATCTTAATGACAGGAAGGGACACAACCATTGTCAGCCCATGGGATGCACCATATGAACAAAACCACAAAGGAGAAGGGGTATGGGGAGGGATGGCTTCCTTTACCATAGCTTTGCATCTTTGGAGGGTCTTGAGGACTGCAGTATCTTTGTCCATTCCTGCTTGGTCTTTTGTAGGGCCTGGGTCTTTTCTTTATCCACTTGGACATATTTTACTTTCTCATCTGATGTGATAGATAATGTGGATGGCTTGCGATGATGGCTCAGGGAGACCAGCTGGAAGTCCAGGGCTATGTAATTCACAATGCCAGTACTCTTTTTTTGGAGCTGAGTTGTTGGTTCCACTGGGGACAGGGGATGAAGACACTGGGTTCTGTATAGGGACATAGTTCTCCTCGCTGTCTCCGGAGTCTATGTTGGTAATGCTTTGTGTGAAGATGGAATGGCAATACTGGGAGAAGCTGGAGTTAAAGGTGTGGTTGACCTGGTGACAGGTGACTTGAAAGGGAGCTCATTGATGACAGTGTTGTTTCTCAGGTCAAGGGGTGCTGGCTTTGCTTTTCAGCCAGGCTTGAGGTGGCGACTGACCAGGGGTGGCTGGATCTCGCTTCCTTGGCTGGAGCCTCTATGAATAGGAAGGGCTGTGGATGGGTGGCCTAGTGGGTCAAAATGATGGGGCACTGTGCTCATGGGGATGATGGAAGAACCTGCGTTTACAGGCACATAGTTGTCATCAGAGCTGGCACTGTCTGATCGACCCACGATAGTCTTTTTTCTGGAGATTTAGCAGACCAGCAGGCAGTTTCTCCACCTTGTGGTTGGGTACTTGTAGTCACTGACTGGAGGTCTTTGTTGAGGGCTGCCCCACCGAGGTGTCTTTGTCTGACTTGGTTTGGGGTGCTATGGCTGAGATGGGGGAGCTATGGCTGAGTCCACTAGGAGGTCTCCAAATTCCCGACACAGGGTGTTGCTGGGTGAGTTGAAGGTGTACACATTCTCACTATCTGCCTCAGACCCTGTGAGGCTGCCCTTGGTGTGGCTGTGTGAAGCCAGGCTACGGGGGCGGTCAAAAGCACTGTCTTTGAATTATCTTGGGAAGGCTATAGAAGCCATGAACTTGACCACTGATTATGTTGATACAGTGTCTATTGCCCTGGGCAAGTTTTTGTGCAGCTGTATCACTCTCCTCTCGGGTGCCCTGAAAGAAGCTGGCACTCCTCACATTTTCTGTCCTTCGGTTTATGCACTGATGCAAGTGTTGGTACTCCTGAGGTGCACTGGTGGACAAGGCAGAGTGGGAAGGAGCTGAGGACTTCCTTGCTCAGAGCAAGTGCTGACTGGAGCTGCTGAACTCAGCTGGAGAAGAGCAGAGACTATGACTGAAGAAAGGTTTCTCAGGGAGACTGTACTCTCTTTAGTCTGACTGAAGCCTCTGTGCTGCCAGATGCTCTGGACCCACCTATTCATGTCAGCCTCTGTCTCAGCCACCAGGTAGAAGGTGTGTTCATTGGTCTTGCTTGATATCAAACATATAAAACTCTTTTGGAGCTCTTTATAGCTGAAGGTCAGGCCTACATCCATCTGCCTACAGAAGTTTAGGTTGACGATCCGCAGGGGTTTCTTGAGTGTTCATTCTTGTAGTATTCCAGAACATCTGGGTTCCCACTCGTCTGAATGCTCCGAAGGATAAACCAGTGTTTCTTCCAAGCATAGCGACCCAACCTTTTCTCGGGAGGTGATTTCCCCAGCCAGCTGGTGCACACCACATCGTCACCGACTGACTGGAGCCTGCAGCAGGCTCTAGTGGACAAGGGTGCAAGCAGCTGGGTCAGCCAGCTGCTGGTGTGCAGCTCATGGTGGAGGGATTCTTCAGAGGAGGATTTCCCGTATTTCTTTAATAATTTTCTTAGCATTATCACTTAACCCAAAGTTAAAATGAGATCTTACCAGTACCTTGTCTCTTTCAACTTTCTCTGTGTATTTTCTCTATTTATTTCAATCCAACTCCCTTAGAAGTTGAGGCACCCTTCCGGTACCTTTCCAATCCAGCTCTCGTAGGAGTTGAGGCACCCCTTTTCCAGTGCCTTTCCAATCCAGCTCTCTTAGGAGTTGAGGCACCCCTTTTCCAGTGCCTTTACAATCCAACTCTCTTAGGAGTTGAGATATCTATTTTCCGGTACCTTTTCCAATCTAACTCTCTTAGGAGTTGAAGCACCCATTTTTCAGTGCCTTTAACAATTCATCCTCACAACTCCTTCCTTGCTGGCCAGCCTTCCGAGGGCGATCTCTCAGGGTCCCATTTCTTTCACAATCTCTGTGGGTATCGATCAAAAGCCTGGAGATTTGGATGAAGGACAAGACACCTGGTCAGAGTTTCTGAGAGAATGTCTCACTTTATTGTGGAGCAGCCTTATATACAAACTTACAAAAACCCCAGGTATAAGGGTTCACAACACGATGTTGATGCTAGTGGGATGAGGTCAGGAAAACAGGAGGTAGACCCCGTGGGGGCTGGGTCCCAACACTAAGCCATCAAATTCCATAGTTCTGGGGAAGTCCTTATCTGTATTAACCTTGCTTTTTTTTTTTTTTTTTTACTTTTTTTTTTCCCTCTAAATTTTTTTTTTGGTTTAATTTCCTTTTTTAATTAAAACATCTACAACTTTTGTGCTTAAAAGCTCACCCTGAGAAAGGCTCAGGGCTACACTGGAATCCCCAGTACTTGCTTTAGTCACTGGCTGGCTAATGGAGACATTGTTTAAACCCAGTGTGCGCAGTCTTTTCTTATGGGTATCCACAACACTCCAGCACCAGAAGACACCACAGTTTACCAGGGTCCTCTGGGAGAGGGGGTCATGAAGAACTGTGTTGGGTGATGGGACTGTAGTTTGATTGTGTGGTGACTCAAGACTGTGTGCAGCTGTCAAAACCCTCAGAGCTGTACACTAAAATAGATGACCTTGCTGAGTGTGATGGGTCATGTTTGAGAAGACTGCTTCATGCTAGAGGTTAGCCTGGCCTATATAGTGAGTTCCAGCCCAGCCTGGGCTACATTGTGAGACTATACTTCCAAAACAGAAGAAAAATCCTCTTCGTATATCGTACGTACACACACACACACACACACACACACACACACACACACACACACACACACATACACACACCACACAAATTGCCACTGGACCACACAGGACAGCTGTCACCCATCGGAAAGATCAGCTCTTTATTTTGCTATGGATAAAGACAAGGGAGGATGCTGGGGCAGGATTTGTTTCTACAAAGATTAAAATTTTTGTCCACAGGGTTTTCACTGTAGACAAGAGACTAACTAGGACAAAGGCCTTCAGGTTTGTGCTTCTGTTTGGGGCCTGCACAGCCTGGCTCCATGGCAGCACAGCACTACAGATGATTGACAGCAGCTCCCAGAGTCGGGGGTCCTCTCCAGCCCTTGTCTGGAATGGACTTGCTCTAGGCAACTGCATCACTTATATATAAACATGCACATACAGAGAAACCAGGGTTAAGACTGACACAACAGAAAGAAGACCCTGTCCTGAAAGCCACTGCTGGAGTTGAGAGCAAGTATTTTTTTGAATCAGACTCCCACAGTGTAGCACAGGCTGGTCTTGAACTTTCAGCAATCCTCCAACCTCTGATCCTCAAGTGCTAGGATTCTTCCTGCATGCTACCACGCCTGGCTGGCTAGCTGTGTCCCACAGAAGGGAAAATACTATTACTCAGTGGTGAAGCATGTGCCTGCCATGCTTCAGGCCCCAGGTTCTCTCCCTAGCAGCACACAGACAGCGATGCAAGTTGTTGGGCCTGCGACCACTTCAGATTTCCTGACCTGTGCCCTGGAGGATGGAAAGTGCAGAGACCACCAAAACTGAAGAGCTAGGCCTTAGGTCTTCACAGTCATGAACATAAAAACCCAGGTCAAGTCAGTGTGCTCATGCCTGTACTCCCAGCACCTCAGGAAGCTGAGGTAGGATTGAAAGTTTGAGGACAAGCCATACATGATGACACACACCTTTAGTCCAATAACTGGGGACCAAGAGGCAGGTGGTTCTCTGAATTAGAATCAAGCCTGGACTACATAGCTATTTCCAAGCCAGCCATGGTCTACATAGCTAGTTCCAAGCCAGCTACACCTACATAAAGCCCGTCTTTAAAAAAAAAATACAGTTTTGATCCATGAGGCTGAAAAAAGGCAGGCATGGTGTGTGTATACACCAACAATTGGGAGTTAGCCACAAGATGGTCTGATATGGAGCAAATGCAAAGTCAGCCTAGTATACAAGGGGCCATCTCAAAACCAAAGACCAGTTAGATGACAGAGCAGGTAGAAGCCGGGGAATATTCCTTCACACTCTGTCAATGTATGTCACTGTGGTTGCTTTAATAATGAAGCTGGCAGGCCAATAGCTGGACAGGATAAACTTAGGCAGGAGAACCAGACTAAGGACCCTGGGAAGAAGGGCAGAGTCACAGGAGTCGCCAGTCAGACACTGAGAGGAAACAGGAGGTTGGAGATGAAAGAGAGATAACTCCTCGGGACAGAATGTAGATGAATAGAAACGGGGTAATGCCAGTGTCCATATCAGAGGAACAGCAGTTGGCAATGGGCTTCAGGGTGTCAGCCCACCAGGAGAAAATCCCTGATGGACAAATATTGGAGAGACAAGGCCACCAGACCACAGACTCCAGAATGTCTTTTGCTTCTGCTGTGCCTTTACATGTTTGCCACTGCCTTGTTCCTCTGGTATCTGGTATGGTGTGAATGGGTGTGGTGAAAGCCCCACTGCCTGTAATGTTGTGTGTTTATCTCATGGAAACATCCTGTTCTACTGGGCATTTTTATCTGTGATTACTTTGAAGATGATTACTTCTTAAGCTGGCCTCTCTAATTGATAATAGTTTTGTTAGTTTAAATAGAGTTTTGATGATTAAAAATGAATCAAATCTTCTGTGAGGAAGTGTCACACAGCTAGGACCTGTAAGTTTCACCTAAGAAGCTGCATAGGTCGAAGTTAATGACTAAGGAAAACATTTGAGTCCCCAGGAACCAGGCTGGCTGGAATTCTTTGAACGGTAATGCTGGGAGATGTGTTCACAGGCTCAGAGTTCATCCTGGCTGAAACAAAGTTTCACAATAACTTAAAGTTAGACTAAGATGTTTTTGCCAAATAGCTTTGAGGTGAAAAACCTGAAAAAAGACAGTCTAAAGTTTTAGAATGGCCCATAGTTGAATGAGGAACTGATTAAGGACAGAGAACAAATACACAGTGGCCCACTAGCTGATGTACTTTCCTTGCTAGCATTGGGTGGTGACCAAAGGTGATGATTAATTCCTTGTACCCATATTTTGCCCTCAATCTTCTGATATAAAAACCTATTGATGATAGCCGGGCGTTCGTGGTGCTTTAATCCCAGCACTCGGGAGGCAGAGGCTGGCGGATCTCTGTGAGTTCCAGGCCAGCCTGGTCTCCAGAGGGAGTGCAGGATAGGCTCCAAAGCTACACAGAGAAACTCTGTCTCGGGGAAAAAAAAAAAAGAGAGAGAGAGAAAAGCTCTGAAAGAAACCATCAAGACAGACTGAGTGGCTTTCTCCCTAATTTCCCTGCATAAAAAGTCACAGTGCACTGACTGTGGATTCCCTTTGAGCCCTGCACTGCAGGAGGCTGCTCCCCCAGGCAGCCATGGGTTAATTTAAGTTATAAGAGCTAGTTAGTAATGAGCCTGAGCTATCAGATAAGCATTTATAATTAATATTAAGTCTCTGTGTCTGTTATTTGGGACCTGGCAAGGTGGGACAGAGAAGTTCGCCTACAAGAAGCAATTGCTACACACAGTTTGAGAAAACAGTGCTCAATATTCACATACCCTTCCTGCCAATCCTTTGGGCTACAGCATCAGCTTCAGCAGAGCTCTGTGATGGTGGAAAAGGGGGCTGGGGTAACCAGCTGTAGCCTAGGCGCTGGGCAACAGGGTTTGAGGGGGCGTTGGGTGCCTGGGCTGCCACACTAGCACAGCAGTCACTGGAGTCCCAGCGGGCTGCTTCTGCACTGCAGCACAGGCTGGGCTGAGGGCATCTGCAGCTTCTGAGTGTAGACAGAGCTGAGTGTGAGGGGGCTGAAGCCCCAGCCAGTGGGAGCGGGTGTCTGGACCAGAGAGGGTGTCAAAGTGGCTGAGCTGGCTGGCCAGGTTGCAGCCCTGGGAGGGGTTGCAACCCATGGGGCCAGGAAGCAAGCAGCATGAAAAGGGGGCATTTACACAAGAAACTGGAGTCGAAGATGTGGAAAGGAGCCGTCTGATTAACTGAGCTGGCTGCAACCTGCAACTCAGGCAGCTGCAAAGCCAGCAGGGAGGAGCTGCTTCAATATCTCCTGCCCCACTATGGATGCTAGATGAAGAGTTTATCTAAATTTTTTATTATTAGTAAAAACTCGGGAGTCAAACATCAGGATAAAAAGCTGATTGATCAGAGAAGGGGCAGAAAATCGACCAGTGACCTCCTCTTTCTCCCTTTCCCCTGATCCAAAAGCCTGAGAATCTTTCTAAAGCCCTCCCTACTACATTCTGTGTCTCTCTATCTGTATCCAGGGTCCTCCAATACTCCTATGGCTAATTCAGGTCAGCAAGTCACTAACTCCACCCCTTTGTAAACTTCATTAACAGTGTCACTAAGCAATCAAATATCCCACAACACTTGGGGATCTGATTTGACCCAGGCGAGGCCCTGCCTCCTGCTGTGTTGAACTGAGCCTGGGGAAGCCTGGGTTGACCAGGTGATCTAAAGCTTCTTATTGCCTGTATCCTGCATGCAGAAAGGTTGTGGAAATTACATAGCCTGCAAGCAGTGTAAGCTGGTGCTGCAGGTGAATGATGGGACTTCAGTTGTGGCAGAGAGCTGCTCTCCACTGCTGCAGGACTCCATGGTGGAAAGGCCACACACCTGGTGCCTGAAGAAACCGGGAGGTCTGTCTGACTTGAGCTGGGGGCCATCACCAAGCCCCTCTGCTAGAGGGCAGGCCTCCTGGGGCCTCTGCCCTCTGAAGACCAGGCACACACCTGTTCCCCTCCACTGGGCCCTCAGAAGACAGAAAGAAGCAAGGCACAGGCAACCAAGAGAATAAGGCCACCAGGCCTGCTGCAGCCTGGGCTACAGCCTTGACAGATGACAGTTTTATTAACAGTTGTTAACAGGAGGTACTGGGGCAGAGTTCAGCTCTCACACTGAAGGCACTTGGATGTGGAGCAAGGCAATAGAAAGAAACAAACCAACACAAACACACACACACACACACACACCCCACACACACACACCACACACACCCACACACACACCCACAAAAAAAAAAAAAAAAAAAAAAAAAAAAACATTAGGGATCTTGATGGAACAGAAAGAACAGCTGACTCAGCTCAAGGCCCAGACTGGTCAGGGTAGAGCACAGAGTGGCAGGCAGTGACCTCCCCAAGTCAGATCCACCTTAGCGGAAGTAGTTGGGACAATCATGGGCAACCAGGTTCCAGGCTTGGTCAAAGGCTTCCACGACAGCCGGCTCTAAGGGCCCTTCCTCAACCAAGGCCAAATTCTGCTCCAGCTGCTCCAGACTGGACATGCCCAGAATGACTGCATCCCCATGGTCGCCCTGCAAGGAGACATAGATTCCAGCACACATATGCCACCCCAGGCCTCCCAATATCCTCACCCTCCTGCCCATCACTTGCTAAGGTTTGGGATCTGTTTTCACTTAAGTGTTGCTTCTAGGATAAGTGACTACTTCCTCCAAACAACCAAGGTCCTCCAGGCTTCTCACCCTGCAGGACAGTTTGGGAAGTACTTACCTTCATGCCTGACTTTTACAGGTACTACTGGGACAGCATTATCCCAGAATGCCCAACTGGAGAAAGGGGTTAGGGAGAGGAAGTGGGGATAGCATGCAAAGGACACTCCCAGGGACACAGAATTGAATTCTCACTCCAGTGAGTGCTGGAAGGCATGGAAGGGGTAAATACTCTATTATTTTAAATGAACTTTTCAGAGTCAAATCTATGCTTATTTCCTACGACATGGAGGTGTGGGCCTTCAGCAGGTACACCACTCATCATACGGAGGACCAGTTTCTCCGTATGGAAATTGAGCTCATCAGAACTAGAGGGATGGCTTAAGCATTAGAAGCAAGTTCCAGCTCGAAGAGGACCTGGATTCTGTTTCCAACCCCACATGTTGCTGGCTCACAACCACCTGTAACTACAATTCCAGGGGATGTGCCGCCATCTTCTGGCATCTGCTGGCAACTGCATGTACACGGTGCCCAGCAGGCCAATCCCTCATACAGTCAAGATAAAAGTAACTAGACCTTTGAGAAAAACAAATCAGCCAGGCCTTGGTGGTGCACACCTTTAATCCCAGCACTCCGGAGGCAAAGGCAGGCGGATCTCTGTGAGTTCGAGGCCAGCCTGGTCTCCAGAGCGAGTGCCAGGATAGGCTCCAAAACTACATAGAAACCCTGTCTTGAAAAACAACAAAACAACAAAACAACAACAACAACAACAAAAAAAAAAACAAATCAAGATGACTAGACTTCATATGACTGTTGTAACACAGTGAGGTAAGCTAGCACTACCTACCATGAGACAACACCCTTGGCGAAGCTGGCCAGGGAAGACGTAGTCTCAGGAGAAGCCCACTACCATGTCTAGGACTCCACCCCCCCCCCTTCACAGCAGAGCTGAGCAGCCAGGACCTGCGCCTACCTTGAGCTGTGAGTGATGGTAGATCCATCCCAGGGTGGCTGAAGTCAGGCTAGGGGTGTTGCTGCCATAAGAGGACTTCAGTGCCTTCTCCACCAGGGCGATGCCCTTGAAATGTTCCTCCTTCCAGTAGCTGAGTGGGTGGGACAGTAACATGGAGGTCAATATCTTGGGGTAACTAGAGGGTAACCTAACCCCTGCATCCCAGCGGTGGCCTCTGACCTCAGATACAGTTCTGCACCTTCAGTATCAGAACACACAGGTCTCTGGGCCCCTTGCCATGTCAGTGAGGGACACTAAACCAAGAATCTGGTATTTTAAATGCTTGTCAAACATCACCAATACAGCTCCCTAAATGAGAACTCTCGGCTGCCATGACACCACACTTGTGAGCCCAGGGCCACACAAAAGCCTAGCTAAAGTCCTGGGCACCAGTCCAGCTTCCCCGGTCTTGGCTGAGGCACCTCCATTACTTGCTCTCTCTGGTCTAGTTACTGAGGGAGGGAAACACTTTTCCTGCAGCCTGTCTCAGTGACTTTACCAGGGGGAGAGCTGATTGGGCTGCATTAACTAAAGAACATGACCATATTGAAGGCCACCAAGCCTTGATTCTCCAGATGACAGCAGTGCGCTCTGACAGTGTGTGACAATGAGTTCAGAACCACTGTTTCTTCTCCAGGTAGGAGGACCACAGACTGATGGTGGGGAAGGCTACAAATACTGGTCCTTTGTGGTTGCTGTTTTGTTCTGAGATGCTGAGCATCAAATAAATTCAAGGTGCCCTGCATACCCACAAGTGCTCAACCAGTGAGCAGCATGCAGCCAACAGGTAAGGCTTGAAATAAGCAGGGTACACAACGAAGGCCCATAGAGACTGCTCACTGCTTTTGCCTTTGCACTTTTCAACAGAACCAGTATCAGAGCCTCCTGCAGGAAGCTGGCTGCTGAGCCTCTCCTTCCCAGATAGAGAATACAAATAACAAAAGTATCAGTCTATGCTCAGTAATGAACCTTGGCGACACAGCAAAAGAGACAATGGGGGAAGGGGGATGGAGTGAAAGAGTTTCAACGGTGGCTGGCTATGAGAACACACACATCTAATCCCAAGTCTAAGGAGACTGAGGATACAGCATCACAATGTCACTAAGATAAAAGACAGCCGGGTGGTGGTGGCGCAAACCTTTAATCCCAGCACTCGGGAGGCAGAGGCAGGAGGATCTCTGTGAGTTCGAGTTCGAGACCAGCGTGGTCTACAAGAGCTAGTTCCAGGACAGCCTCCAAAGCCACAGAAAAACCCTGTCTCGAAAAACCAAAAAAAAAAAAAAAAAGATAAAAGACTTAAAACCTGATCATTTTTCAATTTTTATTCCATTTTGTAGTACTGGGAATTAGAGCAGGGCTGTGGGCATTGAAAGGCAGGCCTTTCCCTTGTAATCCTTCTACCACAGCTTCCACAATCAAATCAAATTCTTCAATACTTAAAAATTGGAGCAGATTTGGTGACAGATCCTAGTAATCCTAGCTCTTTGGCCAGGTAGTGGTGGCACACACCTATAATCCTACCACTCAGGAAGCAGGCAGATCTCTGAGATCAAGGTCAGACTGGTTAAAGGGTTAGTTCCAGACAACCAGTACTGCTCAAAGAAATCCCATGTGGGGATAAGAAAAACAAAAACCCTAGCCCTTTGGGTGTGGATGCAGGAGGGTCAGGAGTTCAAGGTCATCCTCAGCTACACAGCAAGTTTGGGGCCAGACCAAGATACAAACAAACAAACAAAATGAGTAAGGGTAGAAGAAGATGAGGGTAGCCCCAACATTGTCCACCTATAACCATTGAGACCAATGATGATTATTTCACTACCAGCATATCAGGGGACTTAGACTCATTGATCATCACCAAGCTCCAGGCTCCCCCAAGTCCATCTGCGATTGTCCTACAGTTGGCAGTGGAAGAGCTATTCCCAAGGGTAACACAGGGTAACAGAATACAAATCTAGGGATCCATAAGATATTCCGAGAACATCCCTCAAATGCCCAGGACAGCTAACATCAGAGTCTTAGGCCTGAATACCAAGTTACAACTGGTCCCCAACAAGGCAACCTCAAGGATAGTCCCTCAAACTAAGGAAACCTATCGCACTGCTTCCCCAGACACAGCCCCTACCACAGCTCACCGGTCCATGTACAACTGAGAAAACTGATTCCCAAAGAAGCGGCTCTCAGGCTGCTTTCCATCCTTGTCCTGGTATTTATATCTGCCAGTCAGCAGGCCCCCTGCAAGAAGAAAGCAGTCAGACCCTGGCCATGGCCTCCTCCCAAAGATAGCCAGTTCCCTTCTAGGAACTGGAGAACAGGAGGGAAACTAAAGGAGAGGACCCAGGTACCCCTTCTCTAAGCTCCCCACTTACTGGGGCCTGACTGAGTACCCAACAGAGCATCCATAGGCAAACATAGGCTAGGCATGCCCACACACCCATAGGCCCGGTCTCCACTGCAGCCCATACCAGCCAAAGGGTTGAATGCATAGAATCTCAATCCAAAGTTTCTGAGGCAGGGGAAGAGTTCCTTCTCCACCAGACGAGTGGTGGCATTGTACATGCCCTGCAGGGAGATGGTAAGAGAGGGAAACATGTTAAGGGATCCCAAATGTACCTTCTTAAGTCCATCAATTTAGTCCTTAACAAAACTACACCTTCCCAGCCAGGGCATACATATGGTGCTGGTGGCAACGGTCATGGTTATTCCCAAAGACCCAGGATTGATGGATCCATGGACCCCAACATCTAGATGATCCTGGCACACCAGATTCCCCTCACCTGGTAGACAGTTGGCAGGATCCAGCCATTTTTCTTGCAGAGGGTACAGATCTCAGCCACCTCCCAGGAGGAATAGTTGGACAGGCCAAGCTCCACAAACTTGCCCTACAGGGGAGAAACTCCATCATAGCCCAGTTCAGTCCAGGGGACCAGGAAGGGGAGCCTGACTGGGTGGGGAGCCTGGAGAGAGGATGTGTCCAGCCCTGCTGTGTGTCCCCAGCACTCACTCTCCAGGCAGGGTCGAGTTGAAAAGGTCAGAAAGCATCTCCCCAAGCTCAGGGGCCACCCTCACCTCCTGATGCAGCTGGTGGCAGGCCTTCAGTGTGTCCTCTATAGGGGTGCTGTGGTCTGGCATGTGTAAATAGAAGAGGTCCACCCGGGGACACTGTAGCCTCTTCAGGGAAGTCTCCAGCTGGAACCGCACATCATCAGGTTTCAATGACCTCCCAAACAGTGGACAAGCTTTGGTGGCAATTTTCACTTTTAAGGGAGAAAAATGCAAGTTCAAGCCACTTTATCAAACAGAGTCTGTATTGCAACAGTTAAGGAACAGAAACAGGAAGGACAGGGTGGTTTATGCCTCTGATCCCACGCCTGCAGGGATGGAGGAAGGAATGAGTTCAGGGTCATCTTTGCCTACATTGTACAAATCTAGGCCTATATGAAACACTGTATCAAAAATCAAAAGCAGTGGAAAGGAGGAAGGGAGGGATAGACAGAGAGACACAGAGAGAAAAATAAGAAATATAAAGGCAGAGATATGATTGGTGTGAGATTGCAGCTGTGCCTTTAGTAGCTGTGGCCTTGGCTAAATGGACTGCTCCACAACGCTGCCAATAGTAAATGACAGTGTGACTCATAATGGCTTACACAGAAGTACTGAGGGTGGACAGGGTTAACTGACAGTGGACATCAATGTGGTTGGTATCCTCCCTGTGACAACTACTTATTGCCCACCAGGATAGCCAAGCCAGGCACTGGGGCTGGTGGAGGCAGAGGATCCTGCCCTCATGGCCTCTGCAAACTACAGGGCCCATATTGAATAGTGAGGCAGGGAAGAGCTTGAGGTTCCACAGTGGGGCAGAACAGGGAGGCAGAGGCAAGAGTGGGGAATCATGAAAGTCCTTGAGACTCTCATCAGAGTGTCTAGGGCAATGAGAGGCAGCAGACCAGGAACCGTGAGGTGCTCATTCACACGAAGGGGGCTTTAAAAACCATGAGTCTTAAGGCCCTGGGTGGGAACCACACCTGCCACTCCAGGTACCAGAGCACCAGGTCTGGGGAGAGGAACACAGGAAAAGAGAAAAGACAACAGACTAGAAGCAAAATGGCCCCAATAGCACCCCACATGGAGTCTGGAGTTTATCCTAGGGGTTATGAGGGGGTCTCTAATGCTTTCAAATCCAGATCTCCCTGGTCATCTTAACCTGTTTTTATGATGATCCTGAATGCAGTTGGGTTGATGGGCAGATCTGATCACAGGGTGACAAAGGGGCAGAAGGAACTAGGGATAGAGACAGGAGAGGCTTTGCTGAGGGCCTGTGAGAATGAAAATCAGGGCCAGCCACAGACTCGCTCCTCTCTGGAAAAACAGGCCAGTGCTGGAGCATCTGAGAGAGACCCTGCCTCTCTCCCTGCTCCTCCTGAGAGTTCAGTTGGATGGTAGGATGCCTGGTGAAAAGATGGTTGGAGTGATGGATGGTTGATCAATGGGTGGATACATGAATAGAATGATGGATGAGATGATGGCTGGATTGTCAGATGTATGCATGGACGTATAGATGGATATATGGATGCACACATAGATGCAGGGATGGATGCATGCAGGGATGGATGCCATGACGGATGGATGTTGAATGGACGGATGTTGAATGGCTGGGCAGAAGGAACTTTCCACCCTTGCAAAGTCAGTTCAGCAGCCCAGAGGCCGTCAGTCACTGGAGCCCTGACACTGAGGAATCACACACCCGGGATTTGTCCATCGTACCTTCCTGAAGGGACAGCAGCTTCAGATCTGAGCTGTGGCTCTGGCCCAACCAGCCCTGAACTCAAGCAGGGAAAGGAGGGAGGGGTCAAAAGAGAAAAATCAACCAGAAGTCAGATGCAGGCTCTGGTGGTGCTAATGTGTAATGTTCCTAATGCCAGCTCCCTCGAAGCTGAGGCAGGAGCAGTCTAGCCTGAGCTACATGAAGATCCTAGGCTCACCTGGGCTGCATAGAGAGATCCTTTTACAAAACACAAAACCCACAACTCATCCTTTCGCAGGGAGTAGGTGGGGGATCTGGAAACAGCAAGGCACAGGTCTGCTTCTGTTCTGCATCCCACTGTGCTGTGAATACCTGAGCAACACCCCAGAGGGCAGTGGTGAGAGTGCAATTGAAGAGGAAGAGTTGTAGCTAGCATAGCAGCAGCCACGCTTGAGAAGTGCAGGTCCACGCTTGAGAGGCTGAGGCAGGGAATCTACTCAGTCAAGAGCTCAGGGAAGCTGCATGGCTCCAGGCCCCTGTTCCCTTTGCAGGGTACATTGGTTCCTGTGGCAGCCACCACAGGAGCAGGAGGCCCAGTTAAGCAACAGGCTCAGGATTTGAAGGTTCCAGGCCATTAGCAAAGGAGGAAGGAGGTTTCAGTCTGGGATGTTGTTGTGCAGTGCCACAAAGGCAGGAGTCCTGTAAATCAGGTGCTTTTCGGGGCACCTGCTGACAGCAGGCCTAAGCCCAAAGGCCCGATAGCCACTTGGGTCCAGGCTGGACCAGAGCTAGGCACACAGTGTGTGGAGGATCCTAGGCTATTTTTGTGGGAGAAGATGTGGAAGGAGACTGTCAAGTTGTGGAAAGCTAGACATGCCTGAAGAATTTACGTGCCCGAATAGTTGCAGTTCTCAGAGCTCTTGGGTGGACAAGGGGAGACCAGAGATCCAGAAGCCTGGTGTAGCAGTGCAGAGGCAGGGATGTGATAGGCATGACGGTTACCTTTGCAGCCGCTGCGGCCCAGCCCGAGCCCCAGGCCGCCCAGGATAGTCTCCGACTGGCCTTCAGCATACACGAAGGCTGTCTGTGTCTATCTCGGTGTGGCCGCGCTGCAGGAAGGCGCGCACCGAAGCGGCGCTAGAGGTCGGGTCCATGCGGCGCCCCATCTCCATTGCACCCAGCACAGTGGCGGGCCGAGCAGGCGACATGGCGGCTTTGGTAAAGGTGGCAGAAGGCGAAGAAGGATAACACAGGAAGGTGAATCCAGCAGTCTGCAGCTGTAGCCTGCCCAGAGGTAACTACAGCTTGTGGTGGCCACGCCCATGGGCCTGAGCGAGCAGAGGCGGGGCTGAGTCGTTAAGACAGCTGACTGTGACTTCCTCAAAGTTGGAGGCCCTCTGTACATGCCCTGCAAATATGGCACCTACCCTCGCCACCTGGGAACAGGTGGTAGGACCCCATGATCTAAAGTGCAGCTAACCCGAAGGCTGAAGGCTGGAACCCTTCTGTTCTCTCTGCTTCACTTCTGAGAGCCCTGGGTGTCTGACCCCTTCTAGGAATTTATGGGATGGGTGACTTAGTGTCCTTAATCCCAACACTCTACAGGCTGAGACAAGAAGATTGCCCCAAGTTTTAGTTTTGTCTTTATTTCTTTCTTTTTAAAATAATTTTAGTAAATTAAACCAGGTGTGTGACCTGGGCTTGTACCAGTGCACTTGGGAAGGGAGTGAAATAAGGAAGATTAGGAATTCTAAGTCTGCCTTGGCTACAAAAAACTGTTAGAAACTAAAACAGATACCTTGATACCTTGATAGATGAATTAGGTTGAGGGCATAGGTCAGTTGTAAACTCTTCTAGCTCGTGATAGGTCCTGCAAAGGTCTAAGAACTAAGAGAAGGGTGGAACTGGTACCTCCTACCTATCTTTCACCTAAGTGTTTACTACTGTTTAGTCACAATGATTCAGCAATTTATCCTTCTTGTTTTTTTTAATTCAAGGATATGAAGTGCTATATTCACACAAAAGCTTATATACAAGTGTTTCTGTGTTGTTTTTTTTTTGTTTTGTTTTTGGTTTTTCGAGACAGGGTTTCTCTGTGGCTTTGGAGGCTGTCCTGGAACTAGCTCTTGTAGACCAGGCTGGTCTCAAACTCACAGAGATCCGCCTGCCTCTGCCTCCCAAGTACTGGGATTAAAGGCATATGCCACCAACGCCCGGCTCTGTGTTGTTTTTTAAATTATGCATACATATACTCACACAGACACACACATACTACACACACACACCTGTATCTCATGATCTCATGTTGGCTTTACCTCATTATGCATTGAGGATGAGCTTCAACTTCTGATTATTTTCTTTCTGTTTTTCTTTCTTCCATCCTTTCTTTCTTTCTTCCTTCCTTCCTTCTTTCATTTCTTTCTTTTTTCCTCCTCCTCCTCCACCTCCTCCTTCTTCGATTTTTGGAGACAAGGTTTCTCTGTGGGACAGTCCTGGCTGTCCTGGAACTTACTTTGTAGACCATGCTGGCCTCAAACTCACTGAGATCTGCCTGCCTCTTCCTCACAAGTGCTGCCTCTGCACCTACTAAGTGCTGGGGTGACAGGTGTGAGCAATCTCACCAGGACTGTGTGGCCATGGAGCACTCTCCCAACTGAGTTACATCTCCAGCCATTAAGGAGACTTCAGAATTGTTTACTTGGAAGTGGCAGAATACCGAAACTGCCCAAATGTCCCTGGAAAGAGAGTGGGCAACTAAGTAAGCTATAAACTTACATTCAGTAACAGATTAATCTCAGCAGCTGAAAGAAGCCAGGCTTGGGGCCACACACCATGATTCTGTATGTGTGACACTGCTGCGAAGAAAACTCTAGAGGTACAGAAAACACAAAAGGGATAGAAAGATGGCTCAGGAGGCAAAAGCACTGGCTGCTCTTCAAGGGGACCCAGTGTGGTTTCCAGCACTCATGTGGCAGCTCACAACCTAACCACAGATCCAGAGTGTCTAGTGCCCTCTGTGCCCTCCTGTAACAGGACCCCAGAACTTAGCACCACTGACTCATAATGGAAATCCCATTCAGGCCACAAAACTCAGCATGGAGAAGGCACCACCTTCCAAATTAAAGACAAACACCTAAGCCATCAAATTCCATAGTTCTGGGAATTTGTATTAACTTTGCTTTTGTCCTCTGGAATTCTGTTACTGCTTAACTGTCCTTGTTAACTGAAGCATGTGAACCCCGGACATGGCTTTTTTGCTTAAAAGCTCACCCTGAGAAAGGCTCAGGGCTACACTGGAATCCCCAGTACTTACTTTAGTCACTGGCTGGCTAATGGAGACATTGTTTAAACCCAGTGTGAGCAGTCTTTTCTTATGGGTACCCACAACACTCCAGTACCAGAAGACAATGCCACAGTTTACCAGCGTCCTCTGGGAGAGGGGGTCATGAAGAGCTGTGTTGGGTGATGGGACTGTAGTTTGATTGTGTGGTGACTCAAGACTGTGTGCAGCTGTCAAAACCCTCAGCGCTGTACACTAAAATAGATGACCTTGCTGAGTGTGATGGGTCATGTTTGAGAAGACTGCTTCATGCTAGAGGTTAGCCTGGCCTATATAGTGAGTTCCAGTTCAGCCTGGGCTACAGTGTGAGACCATACTTCCTAAACAGAGAAGAAAAAAGAAGAGGAAGAAAAGAATTGGAAAGCAGCCACGTCATGGTGACCCTGGACTCGACAGGCTAAGGCAGGATTGAATTGTCACAATTTCAAGACCGGTCCAGGCAATACATGAGTACCAGGCCAGCCAGGGCTACATATCCAGACTCTGTGTCAAATGTCCAAAGACAGTTAGGCAGTTGTGGATGCAGCTCATCTGGGAAAGCACTTGCCTCACACACAATGGCCTGGGTTCCCCCACACCACATAAACTGAGTGTGGTGGGGCACACATGGAACCCAGCGTTTGGGATGGAGAAGTAGGAGACTCAAGAGGTTTGAGCAATACAGCTCCAGGACAGTGTGGGCTACATGTCAACAACAACAAAATGCCCAAGGAAATAAAAAATCAGGGTTCAGGGACTAGAGCTCAAGGGCTATCTTGGTGAGCACAGGCTTCCTCACCTTTTCCCACTGGGCATTGCTTTTGATTAGAGCAGTATTTATGAGACTCTAATCACATCGGTATATACAAATAGGCATGGGTTCAAAGTCTTGCTGATAAGCCCTAAGAAAGTTACCACAGCTGGGCGTGCTGAGTCATGTGTGTTCCCAACAGAGCCAGGAGGATCGGAAGCTCAGGTCATCTGGGCTACGTAGTGGGATGCTGGTCATTCTGGCCTCTACCAGGCCCTGTCTCAAAAAATAATAAAAAAAAAATTGTTTCTTGCTTTGAAATAAATTTACCTGGCCAGAGAGACTGTTCTCCATTGACGGGGTTAAGCAATCGCCTTGCCACTAAGCCTGATCTGGGGACCCATGTGGTAGAAGGAGAGGACTGAGAGAACTGACTCTGCCCCCTCACAATAATAACAACAATGTATAAAGGTAAAACAAAACACTGAAAACAATTATTTGACAACAAGCAATTTTACGATTCATTAAAGACTATGCTAATGAATAGACTTGCTTGTTAATTTTGACATAAAGAGTGAAATTTTGGTTGACTGTTGGTACTCTTTCTTTCTTCCTTTCCTTCTTTCTTTCGTTTTAAATTTGTTTTTTCCACACAGGGTTTCTCTGTATTGACCAGACTGGCCTGGAACTAACAGATCCACCTGCTTTTGTCTCCTGAGTGCCTGGAGTAAAGGTGTGCACCACCACCACCCAGAAAAATGTTCTGTTTTTAAAAAAAGAGGAACGATACTTATTATTCCCTAGCTGAGCCCAGCCACTGATGGCCTGCGCACCGTGCCCTACAGCAGGAAAAGGGTCCTGTCTCAGCCAGCATGTTAGGGCTGCCACTGAGAGCACTCTATCTGAGCTCAGCGTAAACCTGTGTTAATCTGCAGACCCATGGGGTTCTTCCCCTGATGTCCTTCTCTTCTGCCTCTTAGGAGTTCTACTAATCAGGAAAGGTGTTAGATGATAACCGGGTGTCCCCTTTGCAGGAAGGGCCTCAGAGAAGGAGCAGTGATGCCCACTTTCCTTTTTCAGGTCAGCAAGAAGTTGAGAGGTGAAGTTGGGCTCCTTTTTACCAACCGCACGAAGGAGGAGGTGAACGAGTGAGTGAGGGACGTGGGGAGAGAAGCTGAGAGTCAGGGAGAGATGAAAAGATGGGCCCCGTGGTAACATCGAGTTGGGGCTGGCTCTGGAAGCCTCTGACTAAAACCAGGGTTTTGTAACCAGGGTTCTCTCTTTCTGTCTAGCATGGTCCTCCCCACTGGCTGCAGGTCCACAGCCAAGATGTACAGGGACAGCAGGTCACATCATGTGCACTCAAAGGAGGGCCAGACTTCACCTCAATGGTGGCACAGCAGGGAACTTTCCCATTACCTTTCTCCTCCTTAGGTGGTTCACAAAGTATACAGAAATGGATTTTGCTCGAGCTGGGAACAAAGCAACTTTAACCGTGAGCCTGAATCCAGGGCCCCTGAAGCAGTTCCTTCATTCCACGGAGCCACAGCTGAGGCGGCTAGGCCTGCCCATTGCTCTCAAGAAAGAGGGGGTGACCCTGTAAGCAAAGACAAATGGAACTCTGAGTTGACGACAGTCTGGTCTACAATGTGAGTTCCAGAACAGACTAGGGTAAATAGAGAAACCCCGTCTCAAAAAGGAGGGGGGAGGTGGGAAAGGAAATACGAAGGTACAGGAAGTCCAGAAGGAAAAGGAGCTCAGCACCACCTTCCCCCAGGCTCTCCCCTCTGCCCAGCCACTTCTCCAGTTTCTCCTGTGAAGGCAGGCTGTGCACTCACCTCCTCAAGGACATGGAGGAGGCAGCCACTGTCCCTGTGGGTGCTGAGCTGCAGGGAAGACAATCTGAGACCAAATGCCCCCTAGCACTGAGCACTAGCAGCAGGTGCCACGTGAGCCTCTGCTGGGAGTGACTTGGGGCCGCCCTCCCGCAGGTGTGGTGACCCTGCTATCTGACTACGAAGTGTGCAAGGAGGGGGATGTGCTGACCCCAGAGCAGGCCCGTGTCTTGGTGAGTCTGGGCCGATGTCATTACCCTTCTGCTGGGACATGGCTCACAGCTGCTCCTCACTCTGCTTCCTCCACCTCTTACAGAAGCTTTTTGGGTATGAGATGGCTGAATTCAAAGTGACCATCAAATACATGTGGGATGCCCAGTCGGGAAGGTTCCAGCAGATGGACGATGACCTACCTGAGAGTTGTGGGGTATCTGTATGCCCTGTGAAAATGGATTGCTGTGATTGGTGTAATAAAAGACTGAACGGCCAATAGCTAGGCAGGAGAGATCAGTGGGACTCCCAGAAGAAGAGAAAGGAAGAGGAGGAGGAATCTAGGAGATGCCAGCAGACACAGAGAGGAAACAGAGAGGAAACCGCATGATAGAATGTAGATTGATATAAATGGGTTCATTTAAATTATAAGAGCAAGTTAAAAACAAGCCTAAGCTATGGGCCAAGCTGTCATAATTAATAAGGAGTCTCTGTGTATATTGGGCAGTGGTGGTGCATGTCTTTAATCCCAGCACTCGGGCAGATCTCTGTGAGTTCAAGGTCAGCCTGGTCTATTGAGTGAGTTCCTGGACAGCCAGGACTGTTTGTTACACAGAGAAACCCTATCTCCAGAGACAACAAACAAACAAACAAACAAACAAAAAAGGGATCCGGGAAATCAGCTCAAAGCCCTGCACCTTGTATTTCTCCATTCACTTAGTTGATTGACACTTGGGCTATTATGAACACCACTGCCATAAATACTAAGGAGAAAGGTTTTGTGGGCACAGGTTATCCTGTCTTTCAGGTCTGTAGCTAAGGGATGGAATTGCTGGGTCAGTTTGGAGGGTGTCTATATTGTATAGTCATTCATTCATTCATTCATTCATTCAGAGACAGTATCTCACTCTAACCCAGGCTGGACTACAAGTCATAGCAATTCACTGGGTAGAGCAGCCTCTGGGCACACACATGTGGACGCTCTGGATAGGCTCAGTGAGGTGGGAAGACCTGCCCACTGTGAATAGCCTCAGTCCCCAACTGTATGAAGAGGAGATAGTGAGCTGAGGACTGGAGGGACAACCGGACAGGAGGCTTTAGCTAAAACCAAAGCCACTACTGAGACTACAAATGCTAAAAATGGCCCACAGGACAGGGTGTGGTGGCACACACTTTTACTCTCAGCACTGAGAAGGCAGAGGTAGGAATCTCTGAGTTCGAGGCCAGCCTGGTCTACAGGCGAGTTCCAGCATAGTCAAGGCTAATACTTGGAGAAATGCTATCTCAAAGAAAGAACAAAAAGTTCCCAAGGTGGTGGGTTTTGGTTTACTTTCTGTTCTTTGGAGGCAGAGTCCCAGGCTAGCCTGGAACTTATCATAGGGGTAAACCTCCCCCAACAGTCTCCTCCTGAGTGCTGGAATTAACAGGTATGCATAGCCACACCCATTCCTTTCTGTCACATGCAGAAGATGGGTGAGGCTGGATCAGGACATGGTGAGGGGACCCTTGCCAGGCAATATGAGACCCTCCCACACCTATGCTCTCTGGAGCCCCAGCTCCTGGTTCCACCCTTTCTCATGGGTCCCAAGGCAGCGTGGAGGGAGCAGGCGTGGAGCAGTAGAGGGGACCATGTGAGGTTCAGTCCTGGCGGCAGCCAGGACAGATGCCAGCTTTATTCAGACAGGAAGCATTGCTGACTACTGTGCCCAGCCTGCTCTCACAGTGAGGTGACAGGGAGCAGGGCTGCAATCTAGAGGACTGTGTTAAGTGGAGACAGGCAGAAGGACCATCTGAGTCAGCATAAGGCAAGAAATGGTAGGGTGTGAACCCAAGAGGGGGTGGGAAAGCCCTTGCTTGGCAGCTTGGGCCAGGACAGTCTATCTGAAGTAGTTGGGACACTCATGGGCAACCAGGTTCCAGGCTTGGTTAAAGGCATCCACAACAGCCGGCTCCAGGGGCCCTTCCTGAGCGGCAGCCAAGTTCTGTTCCAACTGCTCCAGGCTGGACATGCCCAGGATGACTGCGTCCCCTCGGTTGCCCTGCAAGGGGTGACAGCCAGGTTCTAGCATCTTTCTGGATCCTATCAATTGTCCTTCTTTCCCAATCTGTTGCTAACGCTTGGGAATCTGTTTATGTTTACATCCTAAACACCCAGAAAGAACTGACTGGATCTCTAACCGTTAGACCTATAGACTGTGTGCCTTGGCCTTCCTCCAGCCCTCATCACTGTGTTCATCTGTGTAGGCTGAAGAGTTCTTCTGCATGTAAAAACGCCTGAGGTGTTTTGCCTCTCTAAGATGCTCTTACTTCCTTTTGTTTGTTAGCTCCTCTTACGGAGCATCCTTTGGAAGTGTGTCAGACACTAAGCTGAAGAGACTTCATGGGCAGATCCCCAGAGGAGAGGAAAATGGCTCCCACCTGAGGAACATGACGTGTGTGTGTGTGTGTGTGTGTGTGTGTGTGTGTGTGTGTGGGTGTGGGTGTGGGGGGGGGTGTGTGTGGGGGTGGTGGGTGTGGGGGGTGG